CCTCCCCTAAGGGCGACTCCATCTGTGCGGAGGTACTTTATCACCCCCGGCCTGTGGGGGGCTGGCGTCCTGCCGCTTACTGATGGCAGCCCTTCCTGGAAAGCCCTTTGTTGCTTTTAATCCTTCTTAGGGGCCTGCCTTGACATCTGCTTCGCATTCTGCCTTTGACATTTACAGCATTACACTGTGTACACGAGGCCCTCCTTTAATACGCTGCTGTCATCTACACTGTGTACAGCCGGTACTGCCAGCCTGCTCTCATCCCAGCTTTGTGTGTGTCTGCTATTTATTTGTGAGCCTTTTTAGTGACTTACAAGCCTTTTCAACAGCTGTGGAATCTTGTGACTTCCTATGACATTTATAATGAAGATTCTGTTATCTTTTTTTTTCTTTTTTCTTTCTTTTTTTTTTTTTTTTTTTGTGACAGGGTCTTGCTATGTAGTTCAGGCTGATCTTGAACTCACCATGTAGCCCAGCCTGGCCTGCCTCAGCCTCTCTCGTACTGGGATTACAGGTGTGTGCGACCACGCCCATCACATTCGAATTTAAAATGAGACACCTTTGAAATGTTTTCAATTTCTCCAGCATGTTCTCTCTGTCTCTGTGTCTTTTTCTGTTTATGTATCGAGAAAGATCTGTGATACAAACTAAGGACAACTATATATGTAAGGAATAAATCTCGCAAGGATGAGACCACCTGGCGTTGGCCATGTCTTCCTCAGCAAAATGGTTGGTGGACTTTATAGGAGATCTGCCGGGAACTGACCTGTGACTGGGCTGATGATCAGGTGGGAAGCACTAGATGGTCCCTCCCACCTGTGCATGACTAAAGTCTGGTTTTGCTCTCCCGGAGAAGAGCAGTGCCCGCTCTCACTGGGCGGTCTCCTAGGACTTGGCCCAGCCGGGGAGGGGCTTCCGAAGCAGGGACTGCTTCCAGCTTTCCGTCCCGTGCAGCACTCCACTCATTATTCCTCTCTTGTCCATGAGAAAAAGCAGGTGTGGCCTGGGCCGCCGCTTTGACCTCAGCTCACCAGCTTTATCTTCCTGTGATCTGGACAGAGATTCTCTGAGCCAGGGCCACCCAGAGCCCAAAGGCAGAGTGGCCATTCCTTTACTGTTGAACTCGCCTGTTTACAAAATCCAGCTTCAACTTGAGTGAGAAGACCCAAGTTTTGAGTTCAGTTCCCAGGCCGCACCTGGCCTCCTCCGCTCAAGACTTCTTTCTGTGCCAACACCCGGAAGCTCAACTGGTGAAGAGAGGGTTGCACAGGAGATACCGGTGCCTCCTGGCGGGTGCTGGAGCTCTGTCCGCAGAGGACTCAGGTCTCTGGCAGCCTCCGTCTGTGACAGGTCGGGAGAGGCAGGAGAGCGCACCCTCTGGTGGCCGCTGGGACTCAGCGCGGCACGTGTCCCCTGCTGGTCTTCCTGCGGCTCTTGCCTTTAGTCCCCACTGCATGTTCTCACACGTGCGGGGCCCCAGGTTACCCTTGGCAGAGGCTGGGGCCGGGCTGGGGGGACTCGGGCTCGACCCCTGACTCGCAGGACTTGTGCCACAGTCCTTTTTTTTTTTTTTTTTTTTTTTTTGTTTTGTTTTGTTTTGTTTTTTCTCTGGTACCAGGAACCGAACTCACGACCTTGCGCTTGCCAGGCAGGCGCTTTTTGCCGCTGAGCTAAATCCCCAGCCCCCACAGTCCTTTTTGTCTCCACATAATTGTTAGAAAGGTCCCTGCCTTCCTTCATTATTTTAGTAGTTTTTTGGTCAGTCTTCCCTAGGGGTTTTGTTAATCTTTTCAAAGACCTGACTTGTAGTTTTATGTTGCTTCTCTGTTTTGTTGACACTTTGATCTTTATTGTTTCCTCTTTTTTCCTAGCTTTCATTTTATTTTGCTCTTTTTATTCAATTAGTGGATATTTTGAGATAATTCTTTTTAAATGTAAGCACTTACAGCTGTCAATTTTCCTCTTAACATTACTTTTGGTGCACCCCCTATATTTCCATATATTGTAGGTTTGGTATTTTCCAGTCCCCCTGTGAATCACACTTATAGATAGAAATTCATACAGTTTTGATGAGTTGTGGGTTGTGACATTTTAAAATGATTTTTCCAGCATTTTAAATGTTATGGACTGAGAGAGGCTACCTGGCATTACAGTGTTTTCATTGACTATATTTTTTAAAAATTTTTTTCAAGTCTGCTTGGTTATTTTTAATCATATATTCTTTGCTTTATGCTTCTGAGTCTTTTTTTTTTTTTTTTTTTTTTTTTTTTTCTGGTATCAGGAATCAAACTCACGACCTCGCTCTTGTCAGGCAGGTGCTGTGCCGCTGAGCTAAATCCCTAGCCCCCTCTGATTCCTTTTATACTACTATTTTAAACATACTGTCAAACATCCATTTTTAAACTTTTTTTTTTTATTTTTTGAGACAGAGTCTTCCTCTGTAATTTTGAGACAGGGTCTTCCTCTGTAATTCAGGCTGGCCTTAAACTCACTATGTAGCCCAGGCTGGCCTCGAACTCTTAACATACTGTTAAACATACTATTTTGTAATAGTTCTGTAATTTTTTTGTTTTAGTTCTGTTATCTTGATGCTTAACTCTTCACATATTCTGTGATAGCACCCTTGTTTCATTGTGTTTCCTAGTTCACATTTTGTAGTCCTATTCTTTGGTTCCTTGATTATGGAACTCGCATAAGCGGAAGCACGAGCGGGTGTGGTGTGCACTCGACCTGTCTACCTGAGTGACAGAAACCCGCGTTTCGGAGGGTTCAGGGACAGTCCCTTCAGTCACCCTCCAGCCTGCATGCCAGCTCCGTGCAGTCAGGGGCCTTTGCTCTGTCTCCTGAAGCCTCCCAAATTATAAAACAAAAGTGGCGCATTGGGGGCAACCCCCGAAACACTTGCTGGCCAGACTTTATTGTCTTGTTTTCCTGGTAGGTGGATTAATTTTGCGTAGCCCATTTTTTCATTGAGAAGGAAGTGAGAGACTGTTGTAAAGTACAGTATATCAGTAACGGCTGTGCTTGTCTTTTGAATTATTGTGTTTGTTTTAGTCACATGACTTTGAGTCTGTGCTATAAGAGAAGGTAATTATAGTCTTACGGTAAATGATGCTTGTCTTTTGGGCCAGTTTTTATTCGAGGCCTCATGTTTTTTTGTTTGGCTCTCTAAGCCATCGTCAACTTGTTTTTCACAAATTCTGAAATTTCTCTTTTTTCAAGAATGGGAAGGGTTATTTTGTGTGTGTGTGTTTTTTTCTCTCTTTTGTTTTGTTTTTTGGTGTGCTGGGGATGAAAAACCCAGGGTGTCATGAATGCTAGGCAAGTCCAGCTGTAGTTTCAACCTTACATACATTTTCTAAAAATAAAAATACTCAGGTTAAGCTTTGAAGATGATAAACAAAAACTGTATACAAGCTAGATATGGTGACCCAGTTATGCAGCAGGCTGAGGCAGGAGGATTGAAGGTTGAGGGCCAACTTGGGCAACTTAACAAGACTGTCTGAAAAAAAGTGGCTAGGGATCTAGCTCGGTGGTAGAGTCTTGCTTAGCACTGAAAAAAGATCTGATTTATATATTGATCCTCTGAGAGAAAACCTGCCATGTCTGTGGGAAGTATAACTTAATGATTCTTTTCTTTCTTTCTTTTTTTCGTTTTTTTGGTTTTTTTTTGAGACAGGGTGTTGCTGTGCAGTTCAGGCTGGCCTTGAGCTCACTTAGTAGCCTAGGCTGGTCTCGGACTCCCAATAATCCTCCTGCCTCAACCTCCCGAGTGCTGGGATTACAGGCATGCGCTACCACACCTGGCTGTTTTTTTTTTCTTTCTTTCTTTTTTTTTTTTTTGATACAGGGTCTCACTATGTAGCCCAGGCTGGCCTCAAACTCGTGATCCTTCTTTCTCAGTTTCCTGAGTGCTGGGATTACAGGACTGAGTCACCATGCCCAGTTTATTTTCAATTTTAGTGTAATACTCATTAAGTTACTTTAAAACTGAATTTAGATGTTAGTATTGAACAACTCTGAAGGTTATCTTTAAAGACTATTAAAGGAAAATTTCACTACTTGATATCATAGTACTACCAGTAAATTTGAGAACTTTATTGTTTGTTTGTACACAAGGTTTCACTATGTAGTGCATGCTGGCCTTGAATTTGGAGCAGTCCTCCTGCCTCAGCCTCTCAAGTGCTGGGATTACAGGCGTGTGCCATCTTGCCTGGCTTATTATTTATTTGGAAGGATACAAATCAGATGGAACAAGGATATGATCAAAAGTGAAACTGTCAGCTAGGTGTGGTGGTGCACACCTGTAACTGTAGCACTCTGGGAGGCTTAGGCAGGAGCATCTAAATTTGAGTCAGACCTGAGCATCTTAATGACTTAGCAAGACACTCTCAAAATAAAAATATTTAAAAAGGGCTGCAGATGTAGCTCAGTGTGAAGGCCCTGGATTCGGTGCCCAGTACTGGAAGGAAAACAGTAAAATTACCACTTTAAGTACCTTGAAATTGTGGGTCTGTGGCACTGTACTTGGCTTATTAGAAAGAGCTTTTTTTCAGAGTCAGTCTTTTTCTTTTCTTTCCTTTCCTTTTCTCTTTCCCTTTCCCTTTCCTGTTCCCATTTCCTTCCGTACTGGGAATTGAACCCAGGAACTTCTCACTAAGCTGCATCACCAGCTGTTTTTTCAGTACTGAGACAGGGTCTCAGTTGCCCAGACTGGGCTCAAACTTGGGATCTTCCTGCCTCAGCCTGCTAGAGTGCTAGGAATGTATCCTGGCTTCAAAAAGATAATTTTATTTTCTGTGTTGTCTTTTTATTATCATGTGTGGTTGAATATGGAAGAGTATGAACCAACCCTCAACTTCATTTTATTTTATTTCTCTTCTCAACTTAATTTTCAGGGAGTTAGTTCTGTTGTTAAAGATGTTTACAAAACAGGAGGCTAAGAGTGGGGCATCTAATTTATTGATAACTAAATTCTGCTGCTTTGTTTTTTTTTTCAGCTCCGGCTCCAAGCAGATTTAATAGACGAGTATCAGGTATGTGTTTTCTTTATACACACCACTAAAATGGTATTTTATGGTACTTTACATTCCGGAATACCTTAGGTGAAAATAGTTACCTTGCCGGGTGTGGTGGCGCACACCTGTAACCCCAGCACTTGGGAGGCTGAGACAGGAGGATCATTGTGAGTTCGAGGCCAGCCTGGGCTACAAAGTGAGCTCAAGGTCAGCCTGAACTCATAGTGAGACCCTGTCTCAAAAAGGCAAAATAAATAAGTAAACAAACAAACTTATCTCTTAAGTAAAAATAAAGCAAGAATAAGATGTTATGCCAGACGTTAAATTACTTGCATTTCCTTTATTTTTTGTTTAAGTTCTAAGCATGTGTGTCTATATTTTTACATTTCCATATTAGTGTGGTATGTCTCTTTGTATTTGTTATTAATATTTTTCCATGTTTATAAGTTTATACGACATCTGAAAACTGTTTTTTCAAGTATTGTTGCTGGTATTCTGAATTAGCTACCATTACATTTGCTCATCTATCTTTTTTTCTTGGTCTTTCAGAGACAAGGTCTTGCTATGCAGTTCAGGCTGGCCTTGAGCTCACTTTGTAGTGAACTTGCAATGATCCTCCTGCCTCAGCCTCCCAAGTGCTGGGATTACAGGCCTGTGCCACCATGTCTGGCTTTACCTATCTTTTTGTCTTTT